ATCCTTCTGCAGCCTGTGACAGCCCAGAACAGCAGTTTACCAGCTGCCAGCAAGTTTGGATCTACCCAGCCTGATGTGTGTCTCCAGGAGGGTCCGAAGGAAGGAAGGAAGCAAACGCAGGGAGACGCATCGCTCCAGCCCCGCACAAACACGCACCTACCATGCATCGGGGGGTGCACGCTGGCACCTAAAGCAGAGGGAGAGGCAGAGAGGAGCAGGATCTCAAAGCACAAGCTTCTGGGAAACAGCTCATCAAGAAAACAGTGGGTCAGCTGAGGGTTACAGAAAACTCCTACCAGCCAGCAACGCTCCCTCTCACAGCCGCAAATAAAGTGCTCGAGGGGGACCAGTAAACCCCGAAGTCAGCACAGTTAAAGCAAATTTAGGCAGAATAAAAAACTCCTCAATATTGAGGCTGGTAACTGAAGGCGTAGGGACTTCACACAGTTATCCCTGTGGATATGAAGCAACTTCAAGGCAAGGCAAAAGGCCAGGCAGGCACAAGGGAGTGACGGCTCCCAACACCTCCCAGCAGCACTGGACATCCCTGGCCTCAGCGAATGAACCCCACAGACCAGGCACAGACACCGGTGGGGAAGATAAAACCCAAGCATGGAAGGGGAGAATGAACAGCTGAAGGTATGACAGCCAGCAACTAAAAAGCCTCGTGCTGATCCCAAGTATTTTCTCCTCCTTATTCATGGCAGCGAAGTCACGCAGCGTATCCCGTCCTGTGGGTACAGCTCCGACCCCCCTGCTCGTTCCCACCTCGTCCCCACACCTCTGCCCACAGCTGGCACAAAGCCCCAAGGGCTCCCACCAGCCCCACACACACTCTCAAGGGCAGACAATACTTTTCCTAAGGACTGGCCTAACTTGAGCCAGTTTTAGCTCATGCAGCGATGTGGGCCTGTGAGCCTGCTGCTGCATCCCGAGCTTGGCTCATCCCTTCACACCTCCCCACAGGAGGACCAGGACCATCCCATCCACCAACCGGGCTGTGCCCTGCCACAAAAACAAACCACCCACACCACCAAAGCCCGAGGGCTGGCAGGACCCTGCAGCTGCCACCTAACGTAGAGCAAGTGGTAAAAATACCCCCCAAAAGGAACTGCCCAAAACCAGCGAGTGCCACAA